CGATATAGCAGCCAAGGTCCTGCTGCAGCTCTGCGCTGAAGTTGTGGGGAGCTGTAGCCTGAGGCTGGGATGCAGGCCCTCTGAGGGTTTTTGGAGTCAAGTCTCCCCAGTCCCTGCTGTCCTCAAAGGGCAGGAACTCTAGACAGGCATAGTGGGCAGAAGCTGCTGTGGTGGGACATCGGGCACAGCCTTGAGAGCCATGGGAGGTGGTTTGCAACAAAGGCATATGGGCCTCCCGTCTCCCGCCAACTCTGGACTCAGGTGCAGTAACAGATGGGGTGGGGTGGGGCTGGAGCTCTGGGCTCCAAGGCGATGCAGGAGGAGGGACAGTGTGGGGACCCCAGTCCTTTTAGTTTTAAAGGTTCTTCTGCCAGGGCCGGAGGCCATGAACTCTCTTCCTGGATGTCGCACCATTCAAGCCCTGATGCCCAGGGGAAACAGGCAGGTTTCTGCAAACATACACGCCTCATGTACCTGTACATGCCTCAACTACACACACACACGATTCATACACATGAACACACCTCATACATGCACACACCTCACATGCATGTCTCATGCACACATACATGCCTCACAACACATGCCTCACACGTGCAGACCACATACATACATGCCCACATCACATTTATGCACCCATCTCGCAAACATGCACATACCTCATGTACATGCACACGCACACCACATGAATGCACACACACGTGCCTTGGGTACAGACATGCACCTCATGTACACACACAGCACACAAACACACATAGATACCACATACATGCACATGTCATGTACACACACATCATATACCTCATGCACATACATCTCACATACACACTTCACGAATACCCACACATTACACACATATACATATATGCATGCGAATGCCTCATGGACACACACATTAATGTGTTCCTGTATACACACACCCTACCTGTACAAGCACACATGAACCTGTGCATCTGAAACATGCACACACGTTCTCATATGCATATCCATGCTTCATACACATGCACACATGCACACGTGTCTCACACACATACTCATTCGTACACTCTTCATGTACACACTCATCTATCCACCCACAGGTGCCCTGGGGCCAGCAGCTCAGCGTCTCTGGGAAAGGGGCAGCTCTGAGCACCAGGAACCACTGCCTGGAGCATCTCAAGGCAGCTCTCAGGTGATGGCCTGGCTTGGCCTGGCCCAGCTCCTGGGGGCCGGAGAACAAACCAGGACCCAAGAAGGAGAAACATCAGCTATCAAGACTAAAGGCAGAGGCCTGGCAGAGGCCCAGCACACGGGGCAGGCCCTCGGGTGACTCTAAGTGGCTGGAGGCCAAGAAGCAGAACTAGCTCACAGGCAAGCAGAGGGGGATCCAACTCTGCCCTTCCCTCCAGCTGCCTCCCGGCCAATCTGGAAGATGGCAAGGCAACAGCTGCACAGAACCAGGCAAGGCCCTGGACCAGCCAGCCCAGGAGCAGCACCAAGGGTCATAACTGGAGCTGCACCGCCCACCTCGCGAGCCTCCCTCAGAGCAGCCTCTCTGGTGGCATTGGTGAGACAGGGCTACAGCAGTACTCAGGGCCAGTGGAAGGACAGCTAAGCCAAGGGGCCACCTAGGCATGGTGGGGACCCAGGGGCACAGAGTGGGGACACGGAATCCTGGCACCAAAGGCGCACTACACTTCCTACTGACCGTCTGTGAGCCCCGGGGGTGAGCTTAGCCCACATAGCTTATCTCTCACAGATGTGGCCCGAAGTGACAAGACCCCTTGGGATCACAAGAGCCCCTAAGCTCATGTTCCACATCTGACAGGAGCAACCCCCGCCCCACCCACCACCACCACACCTACGCGCCGGCTGCACGGTAGTACCTCTTCCCCGTGCCGGCAGAAGGGTCAGCAGCACCACGGCCAGCTGGTGTCCTCCTGCGAGACAGCTTCCTGGCACTGGCGGTCCCTGGCGGCCCCGGTGGGCCCTCGTCCTCGGCGCTGGGGCTCCCCACGCCCGTGCTGTTCAGGTCCCTCAGCACGTGGTAGTTGATCTTACTGGAGATCTTCTTCTGCTCCAGCATCTTCTCTATGGCTTCACCCGCCGTGCTGGCCTGGATCGGCTCCCGCCTCTTGCAGGGCTTCTTGGGCTGCAGCAGGCACAAAGGGGATGGTTGCAGAGGCTGGGGTCCCATGGGGCTCTCTGAGGGAACGACAGGGGTCCAGAGGCTTCTAGAACTCACTACCTGGCAGAAGGCCCACAGGGGTTCCCCGCCACGCGCCTCCCCTGCCCCCTCCCCCTGGGACTACAGACCCCCAGCCCCCGCACGGGCAGCAGCTCTACCTTGTGCTCCTTGTAGATGCCCAGAGCCTTCTCCTTGGCGATCCTGGCCTCTTTCTCTAGAAGTAGGAGAGCTGTGAGTTGGGGGACTCCCTGCCTGAGCATGGGATGCCTGCCGGCCTGCCCGCCCTCCCACTTACCCCTTTGCTCCCGAAGATACTCGGCGTTCTCACGCATCCACAGCTCAGCCTTCACGCGGGCCTCCGTGTCATCCAGGATGTACTGCACAGGCAGGGGTGGGTCAGCCCCGTGCTGCCTCCACACGGGCGGGCAGTGGAGGCACCAGGCTGCTGTGGTCCTGGGCACACAAGCACCTCCTGGTGCTATGGCCTTGCTGCCACTCTGGGACACAGCCCACTATTTGCTGAGGCACAAGTCCCCCAGGACAAGGAGAGATGAGCCCAAGCACTAGGAAAAGGTGGCCCCATGGAGTCCAGTTTGTCTCACAACTGGGGCAGCATCTTCCCGACAGAGAACAAGGGCTAGAACCCCACTGCACAGCAGGTGAGTCACACTTGGGCCTGGGAGGCCGGTGCCCTTGTGTGGTTGGACAGTCTCTTAAGCAGAAGGATCAGGCAGTCAGGTGCCTGGAGGCCGGCAAAGTACCCTGCAGAGTGAAGGCCCCCAAGAGTGGTGGGGGCCCAGGAGCTCCACTGGCTGGAGGGACCACCAGAGAGGTGGTGGCCAGGCCATCACAGGCCCCAGCAAGTGGCAATCCTGGGCCCTGTAAGATAGATAGGCCAGCGACCCCAGACATACACAGTGTGACAATGGCTTACTTTGTCAATTTCAAGGTCATCAATTCCACTGAGGTCCAGTTCACCATCTTCCGAGGGGTCTTCTAGGGAGAAAGGTGACCGTCAGCTTGCTGGGCCTAGGCCCTGCTCTCTGCACGCCATAGCGTTGTCCCCTTGAACTCACTAGCCACTCACCTCACGGAAGTAAGGCACTGACAACAACCTCCAGGGACACAGAGGCCCCAACAAAGAGCAAGGTTGAGGGTCACATCATATTCTCCCATGGGTACCCTGTAGCTACCCTGGTCCTTTCCCTCCTCTCCACTGTCCCTTACCTTTCTGTGGTCACCATCCAGTCCCATCAGCTCAGAACCCACATGCCACTTCCTGCCTGTCAGTTTGGTGGGGATCTCCCTGCCTGGTACTGTGCCCACACTGTGTAGAACCCCCGCCCCCCACCTCCCCTTGGCCTGGGTACTCTGACAGCCAAGCAAACAACAGGCACTCACATCCTATTCCCTCCTTACTCAGGAGCCCGACCATAGTCATGGGGGGGAGTGGAGCCTGACTCCCCCAGTCTGACTCTACCCAAGGATGCCCAGTCTGTACCAGGACGTGCCCTCCTGGTTTTGCGAAGGATGATACAGGTGAATTCCTGCTCCATGTCCCACTTGCTGGGAGGCCAAGAATTCTTACAAGCTCATTTGTAAGAGGCCATCGTCCCCAACACCCTGGGGGCTACTTCTCCCAGGAAGAGGCCTAAGACCACCACACTCAACCTTAACCCCCCCATGCCCTCGGAAAAAGAGCAGCAACCCTCTCCCCCAAGCACATCACCCCCTAAAATGCCTTAAAAGAATTTGCCCTGGAAGTTGGTGAGCCAGGAGGGGCCTCTGTATCCTCAACTGCCCACTAAACAGTTTCTGGACCCCTTCTACCCCCGACGCTCCCCAGAAGGGGACGGCCCCTGCCCCCACCCCCACCACAGGCCCCCAGGACTCACTGGGGTCTCGGCTCGGGGAGGAGATGCACTCTCGGATAGACTCAGAGATACCCAGGCTGGCAGCTGTGGGCAGGGGCCCAAGCAGGGACTCGAGGGCAGGGGGTTGGCTCCCTTCTTCGGGATTCCCCGCAGATTCCGAGCTGCCAGGCAGGCTGTCGCCGAGGAGCTCCCGGTAGAAATCCTTGTTGAGGTGGCTGGCAGCAGCCTCCAGTTCCTCGTCCTCTGCGTCCTCCTCACCAAACAGGCTGGACACAGTGTCCTCCACAGAGCCTGGGAACACGGTTCACACCCCAGTCACCCAGGAAGTGAGCCAGCTGCAAGATAAGCCTGCACTACAGGAGGAAACCTGCAAAAGCCACTCCTTTGAGTATCTCCAGAGCCTGGTCAGGAAGCATAGGGCTGCCTTCCCGAAATGTGCAGGGAGCTCTTCCAGACGGAGACGGAGGGTGCTGGGCACTTGCCACGCACAAGCCAAGGAGTCGGCCTCCTTTTGTAACCCATGTAAACACCAACTCCCGTGACAGACCCCTGGTACCTCACAGTAACTTGAATTCCGTTTACAGACCTCATGCACCTCAAGTGCACAGAACACAGATGCTGCATGTCTCCCACCAACCAATTCCGTCACAGACCCTCACCTCCCGTGAGAACTAACCCTCATCGCAGACCCTCACCTCCTGTGAGAACTAAACCACATCACAGACCACTCACTTCATCCAAATGTCAACGGACTAAGACAGACCCCTCACACACCCCAAATCCTGTCACACACCCTCTATACACTACACACACACACACACACACACACACACACACACACTCGCACACCTCACGTCAACATGAACTCCCAGACTCAGACCCCACACAATGCAGAAAAACACCAACTCCACCAGGGGCCTCTACAGCACACACACATGAACCCCCATCACAGACCCCACCTATATCACCTAAGCTTGAACTCTCGTCACAGAACTGCACCCCATACACGACATACAAGCAAGCACACTGCATGTCTTAGACCCCTTATCTCACATAAACACAAGCTGTCAATGATCCAAATTCGAGAGTTCAAATTACAAAGCTTTGAAAGAAAGTATGGGAGATAATCTTTGTGACTTTCAATTAGGAAAAACATTTTGTAGATATGATATAAAAACTGCAATCTCTAAAAGGAAACATTGATCAATTGGATCTTGTCAAAATTCAGCACGTCTGCTCTTTGAAGGCTCTGGTCAGGGCATAAACAGGTAAGCCCCAGAGAGGAGGGACTGTCCGCAAAGAAGACCTCTGACAAAGGGCTTGTGTCTAAAGCACGTCAACACACATACCAGAGAAGACAGACACTTCACCGGAAAAGACAGACGCAAATGAAGTACATGAAGAGATGCCAGACAACGTCAATCCTCGGGAAATGCTCACGTCAGAGACTGACCACATGGAGACGCAGAGGAGCTGGGGCACTCACACATCCTGGTGTGTTTCCATCCACCGAGTCCTGAATACCGAACCACACCTACCACAGCCTCGCCGGCCGACTCCCAGGTAACACCCACACAGAGTCACGAGAACGTCCACTGCCGTTCTCGGTGACGGCCCCACGATGGAAACAATCCACACGTGTTTCAACAGCTGAATGGACAGCCTGTGCTTTTATGGGCTCCTCCTCCACTGGAAGAGGGGTCAAAGCACCGGCTCACCACAAATGGATGGATATAAAAATAATTCTACTGACCCCAAAAAGCCAGACTAAAAAAAGGAGTACAATAGAATCCCATTTACATGAAAGTGGAGCACGCAACCAATTCACAGTGACAGAAAACCCCACTGGCGCCCCGGGGACAAGGCAGGGTTACTAAAGGGTGTGGGGACTGGAAGTGCTGGTTATGTCCACTGCTGTGAAGCGAGGCCAGGACCATCCAGAGAGCCTTCCCCTGAATCGGTCCTATTTGAGCTGCCCTGGTGTGGTGTTTCTGTGCGACGGGCACTGGTGGCACACGGCATGCAGGAGGGTCCGAACCTGGCCCATCACAAGCACAAAGAAGCACACATCTCCACGTGTCAGAAGGGGCATGTTCAATCGGAATGACGAGATGTCTGACCAGCCCTTTCTCTGGGTGTTAAAGCTGCCATCCCATGTGTCTGCTGCTTTTAAAAAGGATGCAGTGTGACGTTTCTGGGGCCACTAGCATCTCAGCGCCCCCTCCTGGCTTAAACCATAGTGGCAACACGGCTCTCCTTGCCCCGCAGAGTGTGAGGCTGGCAGGGGCTCTGCTCTGTCCACTGCCGGACCCTAGAGGCCAGGCATGAGGGGCATGCCAGATACACAGTGTGCACTTCTCTTGCAAGTGGAAGCTCTTGCCGACTCCAGGGGTCATTTCTTGTTCTACATCCCCAACATCATCAGCCCAGGCCCCATGTCCTCTGCCAGGGTGGCCTCTGCTCCTCATAAAGATCCTGCTAAGCCGAAGCTGCAGCTGAGGATCCATAATGACTAGGTTGCCCACCACCCAAAGGCTGCAGATGATGTTCAGGGAATGGCCATCCTCACTGTAGCTGGTAAGGCAGGCTCGAAGGTGGAGTGGCTCCCCGTGGGCCTCACCCGGGAAGCCAGCACAGCCTGAGGCAGAGACAGCAGGTACACAAGGGTACCAGGGAGTGTGCACAAGCCCTGCTCGAGCACAGGAAGTGAGAAGGAGCTGCCTGGGTGGGGCTGACATGTCCCCCGTGTGACAGGGCGAATGTAGACTGAGGCAGAGAGCAGGGCATCTGAGGCTCTGACTGCTCTGCGCCCCACAGAGCTGTGTGCCAAACCCATGCCAGCAAGTCAGAAAAACCCACAGGAACCCCAGAAGGGAGAGTGGACGCTGCTCAACTCACTGTCCAAGAGAGCACAACAGGATAAGGTGTAATAAACATTCAGATTTCTGGGACAGCTCAGAGAAATCTGGATGGGAGCCAGGTACTTCCTGTGGGCTCCAATAGCTGCCATTCTCAGATTCATGAGAATCCACGCAGAAAAGACCACCCACGGCCACATACATCACCAACACAATACAGTTGCAGAAACACTCTCCAGTTGACGCACAATTATGGCAAACACTAACAACAAAACCCAGCCTCCAAAGCCCTCTCTATCTCAACCATGGGATTTCCACCCACGCTGAGGGGCCAAGAGAAGCACCCAGGAATGGAGCGCGAGGGCCCCTCTTCCTGAAGGGATGTGCTAGGCAACATGTGGGGAGAATACCTTGCCCCAGTGGGCACGGCCACCAGCACATGTGTGTGTGGACCACGCAGAGGGCTGAGCGAGGCAAGGTTCTGAGCCAGGGACTTCAGAGTGCACTAGTCAGAAGCAGCAGCTCAGCCAGTCGGAAAGAAATCAGCGACCTGGCCTGGAAGGGCACAGCAAGCAGAGGCAGGGGCTCCGGGACACGGGCTGGGGCGGCATCAGTCCGGTGGGGCTGAAATCAGGGAGGTGATGGAAGGTGTCCGAGGAGCGCACGGTGTGGGACCTGGTGATGAAGGCCAGTTTCAAGGGTCAAGGGGCAGCAGGGGCTGTACTCACCATCTTTAGCCAGAGTGGCCAAGGCCCCCTTCGCCTTCGGGCGGCTGCTTTCAAGCTCAGTGTCAATGGCGTCCTGGTAGCTGGAGATCTCACCTACGTGATGAATTGAAAGTAAGTACCAACGTACTTTCCTGGAGCCGCGGGAGCCGCGGTGGGAGGCCATTCTGTTCACTACCTTCCACTTCCTCCAGTTGCTTGGACAGGACTTGCTCCAGCTGAAAGACAGGCACGAGGTTGGGGTCCAATCAGCTGCTCACAGGTCACCTGGTTCCAGGGGCTCAGGACCCCGCCCACCACCACGCCCAGCACCAGCACCAGCAGGCAGTGGCCACAGGAGAGTGGATGTGGGTGAAGATGGAGGCAGGTCATTCCAGCAAAAGGACTCAGGTGACAGGGACAGGTGGCCAGGTGCCCAGCGGAGGCCCCAGCATGACACAGCCAAGGGTTGGGCACTGTGGGGCGTGTCAGTGGTGCTGGGATGGGGGCTCCAAACCCCTCAGGGAAGAGTGGATGACATCCAATGTCATCAAGAGACGCCTGCCCAGACAGGGCTTGGATGCGGTGCCCAGCAGGAGTCATGGGGAGCAGCCTGACCCGAGGCCCAGACAGTGGGCCACTTGCTCCCTGAGTCCCTGCCCCCTCCGAGTCCAGTCAAGAGCCCCTGGAAGGCCCACTTCCTCAAGACCAGTGAGGTGGAACCCCAGCAAGCTACTCCCACAGGCTCTCCCCTCCAAGTTCTTAGCCCAGTCCTTAAACTGGCCACTCCTTAGAGCATCCCTGGGACAGGGCAACTGACACGAGGTGGGTCCCGTGTCCTGCCTAGACTGCTCGGCTATGCTGCTTGTAGGGACCTGCCAAGCACCCACCCCATATCGGATGCCACAAGGGCATCCTGGAACGGGAAGCGCCCCGTGCTGGCCCCCACCTGCTTCATGCGCAGCTTCCGCTGGCCGGCTGTGTAAGAGGGCGGGTCACACTCCTCTTCTAAGTCGATCCTCATGAACTCGTCTATGGTCAGCTGACTGGTGGGCGTGTCCTCAAATTCCGTGAGGCTGAAACACCACAGGACCATGCCTAAGCCAAGCCCCTGCATGGGAGCTGCCCTCAGCCCCTTCTTAGCAGCCCCCTGCTAACAGCAGGCTTCCAAGACGGGGAGAAGAGGGGCCATGTGGCTGAGCTGGGGTGGGCCCAGGCCAGCACAAAGAGAGGAGAACACTCAGCCTGCTCTACTTGCACAGATTTCTACATTTCAGAACATTTTCAAAATGTTCAATAAAGTTTTAAAAAAGAATGGAAAAGCCCCAGACCAGTTGCTGCCGAGCCCAGTGTGGCTCACGACAAGCCTGTCAAGAGCTGTTACCCCTACGCCCTAAGGGCTAACTTCCAGAGGTCAGCAGGCCTTTCTCCCATGGCCTTCTGCTTCACCAGGAGTTTCCTCAGAGAGCTCGAGACCAAGGAGGTAAAGTGGAGCAGTGCCGCCAGCCCCCAGACGACCTCGAGCCACGGAAGAGCAGCCTCTCCATGGCCTGCTCACTGTCAGAGCCCTATCCCTCCAGGGTCGATGAAGTGACTGCCACATGCTTAGCATGGCAGGTTTAACAATGGCCCTTGTTCAAATAGAGGAAAGAGCTGGGAGGCAAAGGACATTCATAGAGGTCTAGATAAAGACATGTACATATGCAAATGTATTTATATGAGGATGGGGAAATAGATCTATGTGCCTATATTTGTAGGTTTAGTATTAAGGTAGCAGAAGGACACTGGGCCTCCACTCAAGTACTCCTTCAAAGCAAGAATACTTTCTTCTATTAAATTGGCATTATATGATGCTCACCTTCCTGACACAACCACTGAAGACAAAGCGGGTGAATAAGCAAATGTGGTGAAGAAAGCTGATGGTGCCC